ATAAGAAAGAGTTAACTATATATATATAAAAAATAAATTAACTAGGTGGACATATGGAGCAAAGTTCAGCTGGAAAACTCCATCTACCCCAAATAAGAAAGGAAATTCATTATTTGAGGAAAATCGTCCACAAGTCTATGGGCTTATTGATGGAAACCTCGCAATATGCTGATTGACACTAGTTCTACAGCTACAACTGTTGGGTCCAATTTGTTAATGAAAAGGGAGAAATTGCACCAATAGACGAAGAAAGAAGAGGGATTGATGCAAAGAGTAGGTGGATATTAAGTTCCAGTAAAAATGAAGTTGAAAGTTACTCTTTCTGTAGGATGTTACTCTATACCTCATGATGTGTGGATAAGTGACTATGAGAAAGAGTGCATATTGGGAACTGACTCATGCATGCGATGTTAAACTCGTTTCAAATAGCTTCACAGTATATGACCAAGAAATCCTTATGTATTATATGGCAATTACTACACCAAAAATTGAACCTTCACTAACAATTGGGAGGATGGTCATTGTACCATAAAGAAGTGAAATGTCATACCAGGAGTTATCAGCAATAAATCTACATCTACTGGTTGGGGCATAGTGGAGCCAAATACTCTGGCATATTCTGATGCGTTACTGATTGGGAGAACTATCGTAGATGTGAGAATAGAGATGTCGTACATGATTTTATACAGGAAAGAATATAACTGAGCTTGTGATAAAATGAAAGGTTGCTATGTTGTTAATGCTAATAAAACTCGATTTCATTGAGGTGGCTTGGTATAGCTGAACAGTTCTTGTTGCAAATAAGAACAAACTTCACCATTAAGTACAATGTTACAACAAGACACATATATATTTGTCCATACAAACACAGAATTTATCCGCAATAATACGACATGGCAAAATTAACAACAAAGAGATAATGTGTGGATCGAAAATTCTTGTACGTTACCTAACGGTATTTGGTATGAAAAACCACAACAAATAAAAATGGGGCAGAGATATAATCAACAAACCTAAAACTTGTAATACAAATCGCGTAAGCTGCAAATCTCCTCACCCATCACTACCACCACATACACATGCACCCAATGCTTTTAACTTGTCAATTTTGGATTTAAAATTAGAGGCGTGACAAATAGCATTTTAGGTTTATATTTTGTTTCTTACGAGTCATTGATCAAGGCCCTTTGGTATGATACTAGAACTCAACAGTTGAGCTGGAAGATGAAAGACAAAATATTCACTGAAGCCAGGTGGATAAGGCGCTCGACTCACAATCTGAGGGTCGCGGGTTCGCATC